CAGACTTAGGAGGACATATCTTATGGAACTTAACAAATCAAACCTGTCAACTTGCAGGGTGCAGCTGTCAGTGTCCTTATTCTTCTTCGTAATCACTTTCTCGTTTGAACATGTATTACAGTGTTCAAACAGAATCATCGGAGAGCTGGTGTGCCCAAACTTGTATTTCTACAGGGTCTGGTTTGTGCAAACGGTTCATTTTTTGACAAATTTTCAAATATGACGTGTAAAGTAATTTTGATGAAATATCACATTTCGTTAATTTTGCTGACATCATACAAAATAAGTTTCAGGACAGTAGAAAAGTTGAAAATCAGATAGAACTCTTTGTTTTTACAGTTTTTGCCAAAGAGAAATTGTGTAATTCTGGTGACTTCTTTTGAAAGATAACATGTCTTTCAAACCCGCCAGAGGGTTTTAGGGTTCAGAGGGTTAAAGTATTTCAAACCCAATATTGTTTGCATTTAGTGCTAGATCTAAATTACTGTATATGTATTATGAAGTGAACTATAGTCACTGGCTGCTATGTTTTTAAAACATCCAAAGCGTGAGAGTGTCATTTTATCAACTACACAGGGCGTGACAAGCAGTTCTTTACTTGCTGGTAATGTTGCTCTTCACTGCTTTTGTTGGCACTTTGCTGCACATCTGCATGTGTTAGCAGGTTGATACCAGTTGTTGATCAGTTAGAAACTACTGGCTGGACTGTGCATCTCGTCACTCATGTCTATGTGCATCCTCATGCATGAATCTAGACGTCCAAAAGTGCACAGAGAAGTTTGAAATGTGTGACAAATGTAACATATCTAATTTTGTACAGTTAGTAAGTACACCTAGGAAAACCACGCTATAGATATTGAACAATCAACTCTAGACATTCCTGCAATAGACATACACAAAACAGTTTAAAAATTTGACTCTAAACTTGAAGCTTTTTGACCATTTTGAAATCATGTTATCACCAAATAAAGTAATACACACTGTATGGAGGTGACTGAGGTGTGGCCCTCAATGCTGACTCTGTTAAAAGTAATATTAAAGTAATCTGGATACTACCGCTAACTTCATTTTATACAATTAATGACTTTCACCCAGATGTCACGAGTCTCTTGTGCTGAGTCACATGAGCAAATTGAGCCGTTGAACTGACAACGCAAATCACTGAAATGAATCTTGGAGCAACAACTTGTGCAATCGATGAATAACACACACATTTAATATGATGCTTCATTGCTGTCTAAATACATGAAGGAGTGTCTCTGAGGTGAGTTTCTACATGTTTCCTTCTTTGTGTCATCAGTTGAAGAGTCATTTCTTGTGTTTGACTGAGTTTTCTCGTATTGTAATGTTTTATTTAAATTATAAACTGGTGTTTTGCCAAATTCGAGTTCATTTCAGTCACTTCAATGAGAAAATTGGGTCACAGAAACAGACAAAAATAGCCGACAGCTAAAAATAGAGCAAATAAAAATACCATTTCAAGTATCCACAATGACTTCACGCACTTTCCCCAGCAACAAGAATTACTTTTGTTAAGCTGTTGTCGGTTGTGTTGTGCGTCCGTCTGCAGAATCAGACCCAGCAGCACCAGCAGACGACGGGCCAGACTCAGGCCCAGAACCAGCAGCAGACGGCGGCCCAGCAGGCTCCCTCCCAGCAGAGCTCGGCTCAAACCAACGGCACCGCTGGAGCCACGGGGGCCACCGCTGGCGGGGGGCTGCAGCACGGTCAGGACCAGGGGCCCCCTAACAAGAAACCTCGGATCGGGCCCTCTGGGGCCTCGTCAGGCACCGGGGTGCTACAGTCAGAGTACCAGGTCAGTGGGGTTGTACACTGACATGTCTTGTTCCTCTGTGAGCCACACTGTTGCACTCTTTTATCACCTTGAACACACACCGTGTTTACTTTGACCCAGTCCCACATTCACCATCCTGCTGCCAGAAATACCCACCAGAACACAAAATGTGATTTAATCCACAGCTAAAAACAGACTCCAACAAATAAACAAAGTCCTCCTTGTTGGGCAGCATTTGATTAGAAGCACTCCTGATGAAATTATAAACGTTTGTTTCAATTTCAATTTCAATTTTCAACTTTATTTGTATAGCGGAGTTGACAATATATGTCATCACACAGCACTTAACAGAGTAAGGTATAGACCTTAACAAATTTAAACAGAGTTTCCCCACTTTTGAAGATCTTCAGAAGGAACAGCTGGGCTTTAGGCTGAGAGCTACAGACCAGACAGGTTAAAGGGGTCAAAACAGTTTTTAATAATGGTTATTTTATCTATATTAATCATTTAGTTAATCTTTGTAGAATCATAGTATCATAATATATCGTGATATGTATGCATATCACAATGTAAAATTACATATTATGTGCATGTTGTGATAGAAAATACATCAAAGCTCCCATTTATAGTTTCATTAATCCACGTATGAGGTGACATTATTCAGTTTTACCCCCCTGTAGTATTGTTCTGACCTCTTTAGTACAAGTTTTTCTCTCAACAGAGAGAAGCTACTGTTGAGGGAGACACATACAAACATTCACTTACACACAACACAACAACAGCCTGGTGTCTAACTGATAAGGATTGTACATTCCACACGGTCCTGCTGACAGAGCTGATATCAAGTCGCTGTGGTGCCTGTGAGCTGTTGTTTTCTTCTCAGAGTGTCGTATTGTTGACTCGACTCTTATCACGAGGCCAAAGAGAGGAGAGATTTCTGAGAGCTGGAGAGAGTGCGATGACATGCAGCTGTACGCAAACGTATGAGGAAATTACATGTTTTGTTGACATTTCAAGGATGAACTCCTGCAGCACATACACATTAAACACACGCCTTTCTTCAGGTGTTGATGCACTGCGAATTTTTTATTTTACAACCTAAAAAAAGGGGGAAAAATACAGTAACTGGCAAAAGCAATCAACAACACATGTGATTTTTGGTTGCTCAAACATCAGCGTACATCTGCAAGGGCAGGGGGCTCGTGTGTCGATAGTGATAGAGGTGACTGCTTTGACCTCTCCTCCCTCTGTGTCAGCAAGGCCACACGGAGGCGACACTATCAGACATGCACACGCTACACATACAGATATATATATATATATAGTCATGCTTGTGCGACAGCTGCTGGCTGTCAGGCCTCAGCAGATGTAAAAATAAACCAGTGGAGTGGACCGACATGCCAGGAGACTGGCTAACTGTCTGACAGCGCCGTCACCGACAGCGTCCCACTTTTCCCCTCATTGATTCGTATCCGCATGTATCCCACCATGCACCACTCTGCAGTCGTTCTCCTGAACAGCAGCAGTGTCGCACATGTGACCTGGTCTGTGCAGCGCAGACAGTCGATCGGGTCACATGAGGTCTCCGACACTAAGTTGTCGTAACTTTGACTTGATGTATCCAGTCCTGCTTTTTACCGCTTGCAACAGGTGATTTTTTTTTTTCTCATGAAAGCGTCCTTTAACTGACTGAATATTCCGCTTATATAAAATATTTAGATTTTTTTGCCTGACCCTCCCTGGCTGACATGTAAACAGATGTCTTTTGCAAACCATTCCCCCAGTGTGTAAATCAGGCTTTTCTGTTCATTGGTAGTCTGAAGCAAAGCAAAAAAAAAAAAAAAAAAAACGAGTGATGCCTCTAAAAATGCAGACTTGACAGACCTCCTCCAGAACCACAGGAGACATCGATGTTAAGGAGTAAAAATGAATTAAACGCAGGTTTTAACCCCAGTTTGGCCATGAAAACAGATTTAAAGTTCTTAATTTAAAATTAACTCTGGACTACATTAAACAAACTAACTGGAATCTGGACAAATCTGAACACAACCCTGTGTTATGACCTCTTAGAAATTGATAGAAACTTATGCTGCACATTCCATGATGATAATCTGGAAAGGGGCACAATGACAGAGACTTTTATGACGCTTAATATCATCTGGCCAGATTTGGTGTATTGTAAAATTATCTTGCCACATCCTGTGTTGTCCCTTTCTGACACTTTCGACGGTGGATACAAACAAATGAGTTTAGATTGGTGCTACACTTGCCATTTAAAAAGTGCTGCGACGGGCCCTGATCCATGATATCGACTTGGGACACCCCTGCTAAGAAATACTACAGCCTTTAAAAGCTAATTACCAGATAACCTTTACGATAAGATAAAGTTCATTGCTTTTTTACTGAGGAAATTGACATGTTACAGCAGCTAGATAAAAATGAAGCACAGTAAATCAGAAGACAAGCAGACTAAAGATAAGAATACTACACATGTACAGATATAGCATGATAGATAGTCGTACCCAACTTATGGGACCGACAGTGTGTAGAACTGTTCATAAAAGTTATAAAGATAAATTGTTATTGCACTCAAAAAAGTTATGGAGAGAAAACCAATGTTACATTATGTTATTGCACTTGAAGAACTATAAAGGGACCGTTGTTAAATACTCTTTTTTGAGCCCAGAAGGAGAATTTCTTCCCTTTTCGTATCACATACAGTCGTCCTCAGATTTATTCATCCCCTTCCATTAAAGAAAAGGCAAAATTCACAAGTCACTCAAATAACTAGAAACTGAAAAAAGTAATAATAAATAAAAATTTGCTAAATTATACTTTAGTGAAATAAGACATTGCTTTTGAATTGTGGTGCAGAAGTCTGATTGAGAGTTACAGAAAACACTTAATTGCAGTGATTGGCTCAAAGGGTTGTTCAACTAAATATCAGTCCCATCATTCTTGTTTGCTTGGTTTTTATTTTGTTGTTTTTGTTTTTTATATATATATTTCTGTTGAACCACAATTGAAAAGCAACGTCATGATTTTCCTTATTTTTTTTTATTTATTATTGCTTTTGTCAATTTCAACTTATTTCAGCTGTTTTTTCCTTCTTCAATGGGAGGGTATGGATACATTTGAGGACGACTGCACAGGCAGGTGTGCATGTTCAGTCATAAGAGCTCACCGTTGTGTTTTTCTCCGCCAGCACTCCGGCTCCCGCCTTGGTTACCAAAGCAACGTCCAAGGTTCCACTCAGCCCCAGAGCACCATGGGATACTCGTCATCCTCCCAGCAGAGCTCCCAGTACTCCCACCAGACCCACCGCTACTGAGGCTCCCAGTCACTCCTGAACCAGCAGAGGAGTCGCGTCCTCCTCGTCTTCAACCAACCTCAGCAGACGTCGCCCTCGACTCCCCTCGTCCCGGTCGGAACCCCCGTCACGTCATTCCAACTCCTCCTTTCTCCACCTTTTACCCGACAGCCTTCGACGGCACTCTAACATGAAGGCAAGCAAAACATAGGAACCAAAAAATTAAAAAAAAGAAAGAAAATCCAACAACGACACACGTTCTGCCTCGTTGGGCTGGTGAGACGTTTTGAAAAACAACTGAGAGAAAAATTGTAAGATAGATGTGAAGGCGTCACACACACAAACTCAGAACCATGGCACTTACAAACACAACGTTCCTCAAGAGGAAGAATCGCAGCTGTGTTCATATATGTATATTATATAGCACCTTTTTCTATTTGATTTTTTTTTTTCTCTTGCTTGTTTGCTAGACTTTTCAAGTTTACCTTGATAGTTGATGTCACTATAAATATTGTTACATATGGAAGCGATCGGATGAAACAAAACGCAGGAGGAAAAGCCCTTTACTGTCATCTCTAGTGTACTATTACATTGGATAATCATTAGAACAGGAGCAAAAGTTTTAGCTAACCCTTTTAAACAGAAAAAAAAAGATGTTTCTACACCATTAAAAAAAATAAAAATCAGCTCTTCCGCTGATGCAATTGCAGGGAAATATTAAAAGCGCAATTTATCTTAAACTTCTTGTTATAGGGTTTCTATATTTAGATCTGTTTATGTAGATTTGAATTTGGAAAGTAAGAAGAGCAGTTGTCTTTTTACAGCTTCTGTATATTCTGACCACTCCACCACTTTTAGAGATAAGGAACATTTGACAGCCGAGCTTTGTTTCCTCTGACAGCGTTTTTCAGGAGGTCGGACGCCTCTCGTTTTGTTTGTGGCCGGCAGCTCCAGAGTGTTTTTTTTTTTTTTTTCTTGTTCAGGAGCCGCTTGGTGGACACTTTGACGCCCGTCTTATCGTGGACCCTCAAAACTTTTCAAGGTTTCCGAACGTGCGCATAAACGTACAGGGCAGCTAACAGTACGCCCCCAAACTCCCCCCACCCCCTCCGACGTATGCTTCTTGAGACTGTTACTGCCTGATGTCAGATTGTTTTTTAAGGTTTTATTGTTATCGTTGTTGCCCTGTGAGTGTGTGTATGTGAGCGAGCATGTGTGTGCAGGTGTGTGTGTGTGTGTACAGTATGTTTTATATGCATGTTGTTTAATCCTTTTACTTACTAGAACTGCACTGACCGCTGAACCGATCTGCAAAGAGCTGGAACAAACGTGGGGTGAGTTTTGTCGCCCGAAGCGCTCGTCCTCTTCCACTCCACCCCTCTGGCCAAACACTCAGCAGGCTTTTGCTGGAGACTGGAGCACTTCCACAGACAGTGGGTGCGTTCTTTAATACGTACAAGCTGCTCGGAGTCATGAACAACTCTCTTTAATCACTTTTATGTCCAGCATATTAACCTCCATGTGGTTTTATTTTTGAATTAATGAGTTGACAAAAGCTCAGTGTTGGAATACAACAAAGTACATTTGCTCAAATGCTTTGATTCCAGGACTAGTTAGACTATAATTTACCTTCTTGCTGAAAGTAAAATGAAAAGATTGATATCCCTATATCAAACAGCCACTTAGCTTAGCTTAGCATAATTCCTGAAAAAAGCGGGAAACAGCTAACCAAATCCAGCTACCAGCGCGTCTAAAAGCTAATTATTTAGCATGTTGTAGTTTGTCTGTTTAATCTGTACAAGAAAAAGTGATGATTTACTGTTCATTGCTTAAACCAGTTATCTGGGACGTGACTCCTTGTAAAATGGCACATTTGCACTTCAGTGTTTGTAAAGATCAAACTAATGATATTTAATAAGAAAGCTTAATACGTGCTGTTTAGCTGTTGAGCCTCATTTCCGGTCTTTGTGGTAAGCTAAGCTAAGCTAACCATCTGCTGCCAACATATTCATATTCACCTTCAGACATGTGGGTGGTATCAGTCTTTTCTTTTACTTCTTAATAATTAATTAGAACATGTCCCAAAATGCCTTTTTTCCCTTTAACCCTCTGAACCCCAATCAGTTTCTGAGCGTTTTTTGTTCCTGTCACATTTTTCACTGCAATATCAAGTATAGGGGATTTAAAAATGTCTTTTGTCCAGTTAAAAAAAAAAAACTTCTAGCGTAAATTATAATTTAAAAAAAAATAGAAAACTTAAGTTGAATTTCTCCTATGTACTGCTATTTAACTACTTACATTATCAACTTGTTTCCATACTTGCATCCTATCTGCTTTGTGTAAACATGCCCTGAAGTTGAGCCCAGCTCAGCTGAAGAGTCTCATGACACATGATTGTTAGTCCCAGCTGATTTATGAATGGTTTCTCAGTTGTGCCAAAGAATGCAGATTTTTTTTGTTGTTTTTACAGAATCTCATTTCAGCAAACAGATGATTTCAAGCAAAATTTAAAATCAGACACAGAATAAAGTGATTGTGATTAAATATCGCAATTTTAAGCTTTGATTTGGTAAATTTTTTTGTTAGAAAAACCACGTCATACATGAGTATTTGGACAACTCTTGGAAAGTTTCATATCCAAACATTTTTCTGACTTCATAGGTTCTTGCTCTAATAACTGTTGTATTTTATATCATTTTTAAGAAGATCACGTGCCTCCCAAACCTGCCGGCGGGTTTTGGGGTTCAGAGGGTTAAATACAGTTACTTGTGCTTTACTTGAATATTTTTATTTGATGCTGCGTTACACTGCTACTCCACTACATTTCAGAGAGTTGCATTTTACTCCACTACACTCATTTAATAAATCATGTAAAACATTCACAACTACAAGTAAAAATATTGTAGCTTTCCCAGCATTTTTAAAAATCAAGCTTGATTTCTGTTTTTTAATATGGGTACTTTCCAGTTTTAGGAGTTCTTCAGTCAGATTTTTATTTTATTTTATTTTTTAAAGAAAATAAGCGTTTAGGATTCACTCATGTACAGAATTGCTAACTAGTATATGTAGTTGTTAAACTGATTCGTTAGCAACCGAAAATAAATGATAATCACATTAATAATCATCTAGAGATATGTAACACTATGAACTGGGCCTTTCTTTAGTACCTTTGATACTATCAGTAAATCTAGCAGAAAATACTTATGTTTTTTTTTTTTACTTAGCTAGAGTCTTTTCTTTTTTTCTTAAGTCTTTACAGTTTGCTCCTGAACTGCCGGTCGTATTAAAGAACGCACTCAGTGATTTGTCTGTAACTGCATTTGCCTCAGACAGATGTGGACACAGCAGGCCTGTCAGACATGCAGCCTGCAGTGGGAGTTAGGAAACACTGACGCCTTGTGGCTGAAAAGAGAACTGGACCTCTGTCCTTTGTGAAACTGTAATTATACAAGTAGACTTTTATTTTTATTTTTTTTACCACAACATGCAAGACATGAGTGTTTTCGTATAAACATGATGATAAAATTGTGTCCAGAATTCCGGTCAAGATTCACTGATGCTGAAAGCTTCTTTCTCCGTCAGAGAATTCTGAATATTGGTTGTATCCCGCCACTGTAAGTTTCTCCGTAAGGCTTTGTGTTTCATGCATTGATGCTAACGGCAGCCAGGTGGATTTATTACAGCTGATGTTACAGGTTTAGGGTCACTTCCATTCAAAATGTGTCAGTTCTGCTTTCATTTGCCTTTATTTTTAGCCAAAACAAACATGCAGTTGAAAGGATTTTGGAGCAGGATTCATGCCAGATCCTAACCTTGATCTTATGAGTTCAATGTCAAGATGCCATATTTTTAAAAAAAAATGATATCAAATAACTTGGAAAATGGTTTAATTGCACAAAATGTTTAAAGAAAGGATGATTGCTTGCTAAATGACAGCAGGTCAATTTCATGTTGACAAAAGATTTCACACGATGTGTCTGGTCTGTTTTAAACAAATTGAAAGCTGCAGTAATTGATTTTTTGGTGACTTGGGGAAGCAGAACAGAGCAAACAGAACACCACGCTCACATAAAGTATAAACAAAAGAGATTCTTGAATGGAGGCAAACTTTAACACAAAACATTTGAACTCTCTATTTTCATGTTATTTAAAGCTCCACCACCTTTAATCTTTGGCGTATGCAACATATGAACCACATGGTTATTTGCACTATTACAAACATCAGTGTAAGTTTTCTTCAGCTCTTGAAAACATCCCAGAAACTTTGACTTCAGCTCTCTATAATTTCAATATGACTCATGCATTATCACACAATTCCTTTTATTTCTACTTCGAGCAGATTCATTTGGAGTTGCATTTCTGGCCACCTGAACACAATTCAATCTTCTTTTATCAAACTGACTCTTGAATCTAAATATGTTTCTCTTCAGCTGCCACACATTTCATCATGTACAGGAGCTAGCTGCTAGCATCGCTTACAGTGGATTCATCAGTTATTCCACTGAAAATTAGCTTAAAAATGAAAACAGTTAGCTTAAAGTAGCTACAGAGCTCTGTAGATCTGAGGAGAGGCGCATTTCTGGTCCTTCTTTGTGGTTTCATCGTTGTAGGTGACCCCTTTAACCCTCTGAACCCCAGGTGGCCGTTTCACATTTTTACTCACTGTGGGCTCATTTTTCGCTGCAATATAAAACCCTGCAGCACTATAAAAACAACACAACCATGGTAAGATGAAACAAGTGCTCCTAATTTTGAAATAAAGGTGTCTCTACATACTCTAGATATTTTACTATTTACATTCTGCATATCAACTCTAGAGAGATATTTCACCGTGCTGAATGTATCTTCCAACAACTTGTTTCTCTGTGCACCATTTCTGAGCAGTGCTGTATTTATTTTAATGCTCAAATATGTTTTATTTTGCTGTTTTTGTATGTCTAATTGGTTTCCATGTCTGCTCTGTGTAAACACAGCCTGCAGTTCAGCTGAATGCTCCCTGAATTTTTGTCAGTCGGGTCGCAGCAGTGGCGCAGATTTTTTATTTATTTTATTTTTTTCGCAGGATCTGATACAAAAGGTTCAGAGACGTGTAGTGATTTTGATTAAATATCACAATTTTAAACTTAGATTTGGTTAATTTTGCACATCTAACTGTAGGAAAGTTGATTTTTATCCTGTTCTCGGTCTGATAAATGTTTTAATTTTGGTGGGATTTGGGGTTCAGAGGGTTAATATGACACATTCAATCCATTGTTCATTCAAAAATATCAATTAATGCAGCTTTAAAG